TTGGTCATATCGCCGTAAGCTACCGGTGGCGCAGTTCTGTTCAGAACTGTAGATCTTACTGGTACACGTACGTAGAGTCGGACCATGCATTAGTTTTAATGCGATTATCTCTCCAGCTCCATGGTCATCGTCGCAAACAGCAAACCCGAATAGGCGTACAACGTTTGTGTGATCCAGAAGTACGCACCCGGTATGAGCAGAAGTTGACACACGAGCTAGGATCTACGACGAAGAGTTATGTAGATAAGCACTGGGCTCATATCAAACAGGCGATGCACTTTGCAGCAGGTTTTGCCTGTGATCCTAGATCCGTTGTCCATCAAAGACACTGGATCTCGCAAGAGCCGCTGAGTATAATGGAGCAAAAGCGTCAGCTCTCGAACTGTAAGGAGATGAATAAGGTACGAAGACATCTGCAGAAGCAAGTTACGAAAAGCCTTAAGAATGATCGCGAAGATTGGTGGGGCAAGGTAGCCGAAGAAATGGAAATAGCAGCTGATTCAGGTAACAGTCGAAGATTGTTCAAACTTATTCGTGACACCGGTGGATGGCGCATCCGAGTCAGTGAAACGATTTGCGATAGAAATGGAGAACCCATTCATAGCAAACAGCAAAGGCTTGACCGTTGGGCCGAACACTTCAAGGAACGGTTTAGCTGGCCGCACGCTAGTGCAGTTACTCCCGTGTCAACAACTGTGACTCCTTGGGTGGTATCACTTGAGCCCCCATCAGAAGTAGAAGTAGAGTCATGTATTCGATTACTAAGGTGGGGGAAAGCGGCATATCTCGACGAACTTCCCCCAGTTCTTTTCAAACTGGGTGGTGAAGCGTTGATAAAATCGCTTACCGCCTTACTCTGTGACATTTGGGACGAGGAGCGTATTCCGGTAATATGGAGTGAGTCATTGATTGTTCCCATATTCGAGAAGGGAATACGCAATGACTGCAGTAATCATCGTAGGATTAGCTTAATTCCGATAGTCACCAAAGTATTAGCTTCGATTTTGCTGCACCGTCCTACCCCCACTCGCGAGAGGAATGCCTGCAAACAACAGGCTGGATTCCGCCCAGGTCGAGAATGCGACGACCAGATTCTTACTCTTCGCCGACTACTTGAAACGCGTCACACGCACCGCCGACCGACAATAATGATTTTCTTAGACTTAAAAGACGCTTTCGATTCAGTTGATCGATGAGCGCTTTTCAGTGCTCCTCATCGAAAAGGTATGCCCCAGAAGTTCGTGAACCTAATGAGATCATTGTATTCTCATACTTCTGGCCGCGTTAGAGTTTACCGTGAACTATCCGGTCGGTTCGAACCGACATATGGTGTTCGACAGGGATGTCCCATGTCTCCATTCCTGTTCAACTTCGTCATGGACAAAATAATGGAGTGTGCGATGCAAAATCTTCAGGATGTAGGCGTCGAACTAGGAAATAGTGGAAAGCTATGTGACCTAGATCACGCGGACGACCTTGTCTGCTTGTTCGAATGCACGGAACATGTTCAACGTGCACTAGATAGACTCTCAAGAGCTGAAGCTCCATTCGGCATGCGCTTTGCACCTTCAAAGGACAAGGTGATATTACAAGACTGGACGTCAACAATTCCGAGCTTGATGCTCGATGGGGAGGTGCTGTCAGTTGTCGACCATTTCACCTACCTCGGTAGCTGCGTGACGACGGATGGGAGTACTGTAGTAGAGGTGATCACGCGTATATTCAAATCCCGAACGGCGTACGCTGGACTGGAGCACTTGTGGCGTCGATCTGATATTTCACTGAAGTTGAAAGGTCGTGTATACTGTGCTGCAGTGCGTTCAGTTTTGTTGTATGGTTGCGAAACTTGGAGTCTGCGTGCTGAAGATATTCGTCATCTTGAGGTTTTCGACCATCTATGTCTACGTAATACCGCTAAGATCGGATGGATTAGCCGAGTAGGCAATGCTGATGTCAGAAATCGAGTAGTGGGTACTAATTCGGAGAACGTTTTGTCACAGTGTATCCAACTCAGTAGACTTCATTAGTTGGGGCATGTGGTACGTATGTCAAACACACGTCTACCGTACCGTGTCCTGTTCTCCGTTCCTCCTCAGGAGTGGAAAAGACCACGTGGAGGTCAACAGATGACGTGGCAGCGAGGAATGAGAAAATGTACAACTAACTTGGAGAGAAGTAGGCGCTTCACGTCTTCGTGGTTGGGGTCCAAAAGATCCGTCTACCAGTTGGCTGGAGATACTGGAGGGTATGGAAGCGAACCGTGAACAACTGCGATCGTGCTGTCACTTTCTATCGAATCAGAATGATTGATCGGTGTGGGTTTGTACAGTTAGACTGTGTATTCCGTGTGTTGGCTACTAGGGCATTCTTTCCTTTTCCCACCTGTGTAAGTCCATTACCTGTTCATCTTGTATATTCATACTTTCTAATTCAACGTGCAACATGGTGAGAAAGGTAGTGGTCAGTGGGGCTTGCCCTAATGTTCAACGCTGTACGATGATGATTATGATGAACTTGCTTTCGGTTTTGAAGGAACTACTGCTTTAAAATGGTTCACGCATGTTTCGGAACCATTTACAGTACAGGAATATTTTGTGGAAATTCTTTTCCGAATATTCTATCATGCAAATATCCAGATTGTCATATACTGTTCTTATTTATCCCTGAAGGTGAAATTTGTGAAAGTTACGTGGATAATTATTTCTTAACAACTCCAATTTTGTAATCTTTGTAAGCACCCCCATTTTCCTTCACGGGATTTAAAGTTAAACGAAATTAGCTTGTTCTTCCGGGGAGTTAGACAGAAATGAGAAAATGTTCAGGGATGACAGTAAAAATCGCTAAATATATGAACAAAAGCAGCTGAATTTTAATGAACTTTTCCTTAGGTTAGACCTGTGCTACCAGTTACCGACTGCTCATTGATAACCGGAGTAGTCTCTTATCCACTTTCAACCAATGCATGTATTGAGCGAAGCGGTCTAGTTTGAAATTCATGGTGTCGGTAGGAGGCCAAAAAACCGCTTCAACCTGCATTGTTTCATAGTCCTAATTGAAGCAATATGATATAGCTACCCACTTGTTTATTCTTGTTTAAACTGCAGTTCCCAGAACAGAAAGAGTAGAAGACACTGCTCTTTTACTTCACTTACTAATATATAGTAGTGTGATTGCAACTGGATCAATGCGTGTAGCACAGTCAAACCCTTTTCAGCCGTGAGTTGACGTGGAACGCAATCATAACTTGGACCGTCCGACGTGTTTCCGGGCGTTTTTTCGACGTATACCTAAATTTTCTACTTACATGTGATTTTTCATGCAGAAAAAGAGGTAAACTGAATAATATCCCCCATAATGAGCACATATTTTCATAATGGGAAACAAGAATTCTTGCAAAGATCACGCAAGTTGGTGGAAACTCTTTTATTGTCAAAAGTAAGCAATATAACTTCTTTTATGCTCAAAAAGAACGGTTCACTTACAAGTATTCGACAGAGAAAAATAATTAGCATAATTGGGAGACAATGGATCACAAGCAGTCGTTTCCTGATTTGCAATTTAAAAGAGGAAACGGCAGAGAATACAGCTCCTGACCAGAAACACTGACATCTGCCCGGATATTTGCCAGGAGTATGTTTAACTAGTAGAACCTTAGGCGATATATGAAACAGACAGGTGCTTTCTTCTGTTACTGATTATTTTATGTGAAAATGACCCAAGAACTGACGTGTGGAACTTTCTCACGTTCTGTGAGAATTATCAACAGAAAAACCACTCCTCGATTCACACTACCTTCACCGTGCCGAGTAGTCAAATACTGATGCGATATCCTGATCAGGTTCATTTCGTTTCCAGTACTTTGGTGATTGGAATATCCAGTGGAGAAACTAAACCACTAATTTACACAACTCTTCGCAGATTATTCTTACTCCCATTGTAAAACGCACTCATCCTTCTCTTCTGTTTTGTTTAGATATGTGAGGACAAAAGGAGAAATAATGAATGTTGAGTTTTACTCGGTCACATGTGAAGATAAAGAACCCCATTGAAGCAGAATGTGACTGTCAGGACGGTCGAATCTTCACAGGTTAAGATCTCCAGTGCTAGTGAACAGATAATTCGTGACCGAAAGAACCGTGACGCTGTCAGTGACTACTGAAATTCCTCTTGTAAGAAGACGCTTTATTCAGGAGAGAGAGAGTTCATCGATAATACAGAACAAGTCAAATTATGCATGAACTCCCTACCAGTCATTTAAACCGGATACGGCACACCAGGGAACGGGATTCTGTAACAAAACTAAGACGTACCAGAGGAACGTTCCAAGTGTTGGTAATGTTTGTAAGTTCAAGAAGAAGGAATACCACCGAAACCCAAGCTACGTGATGGGCTTTCCGAGGTGAAAACGAAAGGATTTGAATTTAAATGCACTAATTTGACTGAAGCTGCCTTTGACTCTAACTTCTAGTTCAACTCCGTTCTTTCGTCACGGCTTATGTTACACAGCATGTGGGTGAATGTACTGGGTTTATTTTGTACGATATTGATAAAAGTTTATAAATGTGGCACTAAAGCAACGGAACTCCTCTCCTAACGAATGCATTGTTTTCAGTCCAGTCTGATTCTGTCTTGACACAGCTCATCTTCGCAATCGTAAGAAACGCTTCTGTCTGGGTGCATTTCTTGCACGGTAACACAACTTCGTCCCAAATGGTGATATTCAGTCAACGTTTCGGCTACTGCTGCTAAACATTCTCAAAATAGGTTTGCAAGGGTGCGTCATAAAACCCTAATTTGTTTGCAAAAAATGCGTGTTATTCTGCGTCTATCAACCGACTTGATAATATGATGTTTAGAGAACTGAAAAGGATAAACGTGAAACTTTTCTGACGAAGTTGCCACATTGTGAACTACTGATACCCAAATCCAGTGAAGGTTGCAGAGAAACGAATACAAATGAAAAATCTATAATCCACATCAAGACATAGTCAACCACTTACCGGGTCCATGCAAACGCTTCTGTATGGGTATCACTGAGCAAAGTTTTGATGGCTCCTTTATTTACCAAAGCAACACAGTTCAAATTTGGTGGTCCTGATCGGCTAAATTGATCTGCCTTGGCACAAGTCAAATATTGCGCAGGAACTTCAAATTTCGTATGAAATCGTGCTTCCATTTCTGTTTTCACTCGTTTTTTTGTCATCCACAATCCAGGCGGTAGACTGGGGTCAGTTTTACCGGGGCCTTGTAGGTTTGTCTGCGAGTCGTTGAGACTCAACGGACCGTAGACATAAACGACGTCAAATGCGTTCCTTTGATCGATCACGTCCACGTCCAATTTAAAATGGAACAAATGATGGTGGATCACAAAATTAAGTAGATCAGTGTTCGACAGAAACCCAAACGCGTTTGAAGACTGTACCAAACCGACCGGTTGGAACCGATTTGGCTCTGGCCATGGGTAAAAAGCATCCACGTGGATATGACCTGAAGGTGTTACAGCGAACTCCATTACTCCGGTCGTATGAAAAACCACATCAAACAAGTAGTCATAATTGAATAAACTCGTTATAAATCGAACAGTGAGGGCCCTACCAGGAGCTCCAAATCCAAAGTTCGTATGGTCGTTTTCCGTCACGGTAGGTAGTCCATACTCCACAGAAGGATTCAATGCGAATTCATAATGTCGGCGTACTGGAGCACCTGGAGGGTCCACAGTAGATTCAAATAGACAAACCCCATGCTCTATTTCTACTGGGCCCACATCACCAGCCAGAACCAACTGGACTGGAAAGTACGTGGCCGATTCTGGACAGTCCAGTCCGGGAGCCAATTCTGAAGCCATGGCACCAACACCGAACATTGTTTCCAGGGAAGTTAAATGACGCATGAACGGTGTCCAGCCCCAGTAAACTGTGGCCGTTTCATCCATTCCTCCCTCAGCAAGGATACTGATCCCGTCAAAATACACACCGTAGAATCGCAACCCCGTGTCACGTCGTACTGTGAAGTGAAAATCCCACAAATCGTATTTCACATGCCGATTCTTGATCCGCAAGCGATTGGCATTATCCACGGACGGTTTTTCGGATGTTTGCCCCGGGGTCTGAGTTGTATCTCGTTTCGTGCGTCCTAAAAGGTTTTTCATCCACTGTGATCCAAGAAATGATGACTTTTTCGAACCGGAGCTTTTGGATGTTGGGTTGATTTCCTCAAGAGTATCACCGGTTTTTCCGAATATGTCGCCACCGTACAGATTTGCGAACGGACGATAACGAACACGGAACTGACGATCTTTCCAGGCTTTCATCAGATGCCCTACCGATTTGTAGAAATGACCTTGAAACCAGATTTGAACAAGAAACCATTCATTCGGATCCACCGACGTGTGATCGACCTAGAAAAAAATGCAGTCGGTAGGAATGAAGAAACACTATCAAGACTGGAAGCAAAATAGTGATTATGTTATGCACCGGCAGTGGAAAGACTACACTTTTAATTTTGCTTAGCTATGTATTCTGGGCTCTAAATAAGGGTCGAACGGTTTCATTCCCGAACTTAAACCAAACTGGTTCGTCTGAGAAATAATAAAATAATTTATCTGAGGTTCCATCTTCATTTGTGCGCCCTTACATGTAGTCCAGACAGTTTTTGTCCTTGTTATTTAGCCAGTGGTTTGACTAAAGACTGATTGTATATTTAACTTGTCTCTTGACAGTTTCCCTTATGGCTATACTAATTCCGCGGTAGCTTCACCAATCTTTTGACGATGACTGGGTATTTCTCCATGAACCGGAAATTAGAAAAAGAAAATTACCTAACACCTGTTGCTAATAATGTAAGTATAATACGTAATATATGATTAATCTCAAACTGATTAAGACTATGGGTGGTGAAAGGCGAGACATGGGTAAGAATGAACAACTCCTAAATGAATGCTGCAGATCCATCTTAAACTGAAAGTACATTGTTTCCCCAAAATGCCCCCGCCCCTTCTCTCACACAAAAAATACTAGTCCCAATGCTGCACACTGCCAGTTTCAACTATTACAAACAAGGTCAACACAAATGCACATTTGCAGGATATATTCTAAACTTGCACAAACGTAAATCATGAGAACTATTATGGAGGACAAACACACTTATAAATGAGTATTTTCTAGTTTTACTACCCACATCTTTACCTGTTCTTTTGATTTTCCGGGATGCTTACAAAAGCGTAGGTCGTCCAGCATGCAGTCGGAATGTGAGAATCAGGGGAGTCACTCCCCGAGATCCCCATCTGTTTTGCTATTTTGAGACGGTTCAAAGGTACAGGGTATTTGAAATGGTAAACAGTAAGAAAGAGACCATGCAAAGGTGATTCTAAGACTCCCGTCTACTTATCTAGAGGTCTAAAATATAATCGGTACTAGAGTGCCACCTCCCCCCCCCCCGAGAGCTTATCCCAGAAGATTGGTAACCGCCTCCGTGTGAGCACATTGCCCAGGTCCTAAATACTTTACCACAATTCTCTCAACAGCAAACAAGACCATCGGGTTGCATACCTACACCCAAGTAGGAATGCCGCTTACTCTTGTGCTGAAGGAAGCTCATAGACTCTTTGGTGACAAACATCGAACGTTTCACTTGCGTTTTTATATGCAAACATCGTAAGGTCTTCAGGTAGTTCACAGAACGTCATTTGACAATTGGCTTCAGTGAATACTCGGGAATTCCGCGAAAATTATGCGTTGCTTTACGCTCTCCGTTGTTTGAGACAGTCAATGTCACCTGTGGCTGTGGCTATTTCAACTGTGCTTTTTGCTTTTGACCTCATAACTGGCAAGCTTTCAGGGTTCACTAAATATAATCACAGCAAGTTTCAAACCACGGCAGTTGAACTCGCAAAAAGCCCTCGTTCGATATCAGAGGAATACAAGTCCACGTGATTGTGAGAAATGAGGCCAGCACCAGAACTAGTGGGGCTAAGGAATTACAAGACAGCAAATCTCTTCCATTCTTATCTCGGTTGCTTCATTGATTTCAACAATGTTGTGTACAAAAGGTGTCACACTGGTCATCGAAATCATTTGCCCAAACAGGAGTGTTGCAACAAGAGAATGCAATGGTGGTCACTCGTAATACCGAGCGTAGGTACTTTCACTCAAGCAGTAGTTGATTTTAAAAGTCTCAACAACGCCACAATTTTAGCTCAACGATACTGAATGAGGAGGCCTCGGAAATTCGAAGTGAAGAGCATTTTTAACTGTGATGGGACTGGTCTTCATTTTGGAGCCACTCTAACCTGTAGGTTGGTTCTGAAAAGTGATCCTCGAAAAGTCACTGGAAAATCTGAGGAAGGAAACAACAAAGCACTGAACAATCAACAACAGTTTCTTCTGTGGTAAAATGAATAGCTGATGAAGTCTGTTTCTTGTCTAATTAGAAACGTGATCGTGGCAATAATCTCACTTGTAACTTTCAGAAAATTTGGTGGGTGTTAAAACTTGTCTTCGTGTTTTGAGCGTGTCTGTGCTACTTTCTGAAAGTTCCTCCCAAGAGTGAACATCTGCAGGAACAGAACAAATCTGATCAGTCCCGCCGATGCTCACTCTGGGGGGAGCATTGCAGCAGGGATCGGTAACCTACCACGCTATCCTCTCTCCATCTGCACCACATATAGTGTATTCAACGAATATAGATTTCAATGAAAGAATCACATAGCTGTTTCTCTATTACTGAAAGTCACCGAGAGTTGCCTTTTGGAGTGGACAGTGAGGAGGATAAACAACGGAAATGAATTACTTGGACAGGTGAATCAGTATTTTCATGATTCACAACGGATTTTTGGTGCATGGTTAGAGAGCTATCTCATGGGAATTTCGGAGCTAGCTGGTGTTTTCGGATGTCACCATCGAAGGTCAAGGTTGCCCGACAGTCTTCATCCGATGTATCTAGCCACTGTTTAGTGCAGCTAAAAATGTCACTATCCTGGACGACATCGCGTCTGCTTTTCGTTCCATTGTCGTTCTCGAGTTTTATGCGGATAAAGGCATTAAGAGGTACCCGTGGCCACCTTAGTCACCCACTTCCGTTCTATCGAGCATTCGTAGGATAAACTCAAGAGGGAAGCTGATTAGAGGTGGAAATGCAAAGTTCTAGGAAGGTGAACTCCGCTTTGCACGAGTAATGGGACCATATGCTGAACTTTGGTATCAAACGGTTGGTGGTTATCTTGAGTCGACGGGTAAATGCTAATATACCATTCATAAGTTGCTCAACCGTATACCAGTGGATGACCTTTTGAGAACGATCTCATAGCACCACGAGTCTTTTGACTTGCTGTGATACATTTCTGTGTTAAACACCGTCTCATCGAATTACAGGAATTTACTAACTATGATCACTGTACTTCGCTGCACTCGGTCAGAAGTACTTCTACTCAAATAAAACGTTGAATTTTCCGATCAGTCTGATTTAATGAATCATTTGTATCAAAGAGCTCCATTTCGACCCAAAAAACCTATCTGTGCTGGCTGGCAGGCTGCCCTTGAATGCACCTTTCAAGCGGAAACGTCCAGCCCGTCTCTGTTCAGTATCAACATAGGTTCTATGTTCGCGAAACTGTCGGATCTAACCCATGTTCCTCTTTCTCGCATTCGTGTTCATATTTGTGTGGTTCGAGTACAAGAATAAGGGCTAAACTCGCATATTGCTGACTCAGTGGTGTCAATAAATGGATTCAAACTGTTCCGGAAGGACAAGAATAACACTAGGATGCAGACTGAAATTGAGGCGGCCCTATATGCCACCTCCATCTGGAGTGGCATGTCTGAAGTCGTATATTCATACTCAATGAAAGCTACTGACTGTTTGGTTGTGCCATGCCATCCTAAATTTTCTCGCTATGGGAGCACTTTCATAACAGGCCTATTAGTAGCTCTATTTTGCACACCAAAAGCTATGTCATATTCTTATGGCCTTTTTTTTTTACCTTTCCTTGTCTCTTTTTAGATGACAATTTGCACTTCGTAGCAGGCAATTTTACCCATGCTTCCATCCAACCCCTTATTATATTTTACTTAACTGATCTTTGTATTTCTCCACCCGGAGACAACTCTATTGTGGACAGGATTATCACCGATCATTCTGAACTATTCTCCGTAGTCCTGAGTGCATCTGTCTCAGCCAATGACCATTATCTGTTTCTGTTGAAGCCTGTCTGCTTTGTACTCTTTCGGGCAAACCAAGCAAATAAAATCCGGTTCCGAAATTGTTTATGTGATGAGATTTTTTTCCTACATAAATCCCTTTCTTATGCATCTTCCTGGTTTTCTTTCAAATGGTTGCTAGATAGCAACTTCCATCTTTTCGTAGAGAAGATCAATTAAATTTTCGACATGTTCCTCTCCTTAAAAACCCTCTTTCTTCACAACGGCCGTGCCACTTCTCCTATGTTGAAAGCCGTAAGAAGACAAAAGGACTATTTCTACAGAACCCGGGATAATTCTAAAGTAAGATACATTTCTGAATGAGTAGTATGGCATTGTATTTGGATGACAGAACCAAATTTCCTCGGAAGCACACGACCGATTTCGCGGTTTTTCCCGCTCATCAGGCATACGTACCCAGTACTTCTCTGTCCAATTATCCAAATACTTGAACACTTCACAGTTGGTTTAGAGCTATGATCTCGTTAGAATAGAACAGTCCATTTTTAAAATCAAACGGTGATTCTTCCGAAGTTAATTCTTTGGTTAACACGGCCACACTTCAAAACGAGGACACTCGGTCCCAAGGTTAGCCGTGTTACCGACGAATCAACTTTGGAAGAATTACCGTGTGATTCTAAAAATAGATTCTCCTTCCATGCATGCTTCATTTGATTCAACTGGGTTTAAAGTTGTGAGAGACATTCCTCTTTTGATGAAGAAAGAAATTAAACACACTGACTCGTTGTATGCTACTCAAATCCTATATAGCCACAACAGTAACCGACGAAGGCAAGGCATTCAATTTCTATGTGGAAGGTAACGAAACAAGTGGACTTTGCTGCGGATGTTGACATTATCAACAGTGCAGTCATCCATCCATCAAATAACTCTTCGATTTCAATTATTCCCCAAGATGGCACCCACATAACCCCGCTCTCTACAGAAGAAGTGCTGAAGCTTTTTCGTACTTCCAAGATAACCTCAGGTATTGGTCCTAATGGCCTATCGTCATCAAGTGTGAGACATGATGCTGTTAGTCTGACCGATACATTTACTTCTCTCTTAAACAAATCCTTGAGCTTGTTTTCTATTCCCAAATGCTTGAGATCAGTCACTATTTTTCCTATACCCAAACTTCGTAGTTCTGCTGTCCCAATGAAAAGCATTCGTCCCATTGCTCTAAATTCATCTGGTCTTAAACTCACACAGTGTGCCATTCTTAAACATGTGAATCCTTCTATAAACTCTACCGATGACCTATTACACCTTGTCTATAAACCGAACAGGTCCACAGTGGATGCTACCACTTCCTTAGTCCACCATATAGCCCAATCCTTGGATAGATCAGTGAATTCTGTGAGATGTGTTATTCTAGACTATTGGACCACTTTTGATTCTATTCCGCATTCTGTCCTCCTCCATGAAGTGGAAGCTTTCGGCTGTCCCACACCTTTACTGGCATGGTTGTCTGATTACTTTGCCAGCTGAACTCAGTGCATACGACTGGGTTTTGAAACATCTAAACCCTTGATGAACAATTGAGGAGAGCTTCAGGGAGCTAATCTTTCACCCGTGGTTTTTTTTCACCTACGTTTTTGACCTTTCATTCAGTTCTCCTGCACACTTATTTAGATGTGCCAATTGTGTGACACTTTGTGAGGCTGTTTCTGTAACCCAGGACTTCAATGACGTTTCCAGTAATCTGCCCTGTATGTACGTATTCTCTGTTCGATCCGGTTCAACTTTAGATTTGTCCAAATTCTTTGAATACATATTTTTACCCCTTCTCGATCGGCTTATCCTTCTGACCCATATGTCATTTCCACAGGACCATTAGCTAGAGTGGGTTTGGTCAAGTACTTGGGAATCACTATCAATACGAATTTGAAGTGGTCATCTCACATTTCAAACTGTGTGTGAAGAAACTAACTTGAATCCGAAAGTTTAAGCATTTCAGCGATAGAGTGTTATTTCTTTTTTGTTTATCAATGTTTTTCCTGTTCTACTTCTCTATTCCCCTGTTATTTTCGCTGGTCTACCGAGGAAATATTTTAAAATTCTTCGTTGAGGTCCATTTATCATCAGTCGCGTATCTTTCATACCCGTAAATGAACGATCTGCTAAGCTGTTCAAATCACACTTGTCCGCACATAAAACTTCGCTCACGAAATCCTTTCAGACAGCACTCACCTTTTACACAGTGATCTATGTAATGGTGACTCTCTCACTTCTACACGTTCCTCCTTCCGACCCATACTCTCTCGTATTGACGTCTACAAAACTCTACAGTTCCATATCTGGCTTGAATCCTCACAAACGGGGCACGAGTATCTCCAGAATTCCTCAACAATTTTGATGTGCAATCGTTCTTTTATTCCATCTCATTGATTCGACAGAGTGGTAAGTGTAAAACATTTTGGATGAAATGCTGACATCTGTCTACTCAAAAGTCTGATCAAATACCAGCACAAACTCTACGCACGTAAGACACTGATTTCAATAAAGGACTCCACTAATGTACTAAGTTTTGATTATTTTGGAGGGTAGATGACTCTTTTAGCGGATAGGCCTTGTGTAAATGTGCTCTTCTGTCGGTATCCGACGTGTTTGGGCCAGGGAATATCGGATGGACCAAGAGAGCTTAAATGCAGATAGTGGAAAATTCACTTGCGTATTTGTATCCACCTCCTCACACGAAAAGTCGGAGACGAACCGGAAACACTCCCCTTAGTGGGCACTTGCTCTGCTAGATGAGCTGTAGCAGTGCTGCTAATCACTTGCACACAGTGCACGTGGATATCCGGTGATGCGTAATCACTCTCCTAATGATTCATAGCTACTGTTCTGATTCTAATCAGTGCGGTAGCCTCGTCCGTCACTTTCCATTGGGACGAACAATAAACGGCAGAACAGGACTCAAAGACTATTTTTGCTATATTTCGCCTAGCTGACTGTCTTTTTGACTCGCTTTTCCCGCACGAAACTCAGGTCATCTAATAAACCTCGGAAGCGTCACTCACGAGTATTTGTGAGTTATACACAAATTTCTATGTATTTTCAAAAGCCACGGTGACATTAGATGGGAATATCCGGATAAATGTAAATTGACTGGTAATTTTCGCTTAAAATATATATTCACCTCGTTGACTTTTGGATATGAAGATGAGAGTAAATTTCTCGCTGTCAGTGTAAACCGGCCCTCCGTGCCAACGATAAACTCCACAAAACTTAATTGCTAGTATAAACCTCAAGAGAGTATAAAGTGATGGTATGACCGAAAATATGTACCAATTCTGCAGGATATTTTCGGCCTTGTTTAGGCCGTCTTACCACCCAGCCAATTCCCTATAGAGTGTGACTTGTTGGTGTGAATGAGAATCAACCAAGACGAGCTTTTTCACTTATTGCGGAGTCACTTTCATAGTTTTTCGACTTTTGGAATACAGCTCACCGTTTAACAATGAATGACTAACGCTTCACAACTGTTTCGCTTGTCGTATTCCGCGCATCAAACGTGGATAAATGTCCCGAAAATATAAAAGTCGGCCCAACCCAATATAATGAATTCACAGAGGATAAATTAAAGTTTACGTTAACTTACGTAGAACTGAATATCCACTGGATGCTGAATAAATGCGATCACCTGGTGCATCAGTCGAAGCCACATGCGTCTGCGATCAGGAGCTTCGTGAGTGGTCATCGGTGAGGTGAACGTAGGCATAAGACAGTGCGGACGGCCAAATGCGTTTGGTTTGTCAAATTTAGTCTGACACCTACTCGTTCCGTTACCCGACAACCATGTTGAATATCCCTCATTCGAACCCAACCGCCATTGTGCGCTAGGTACTTCACGGAAATAACTGGCTCCATACACTTCTTGGAGCAAGGAATCAAGTTGAGTGCATTGGATGGCTAGAAAGTCAACCAAAGCTTCGTATTCTATAGTTCCAAGAGGACGTTTCTGATAAGGTAAGGTGCGAAGTAGTTGGATTTCAGTAGGTGCTTTCATTGGACCCACGAGATACTCTCGAATTTCTGGTGGGTGAAAAATTATCGCGTGTGCAAAACGCGGCAGTTGTGCAACAGGGTTCTGCCTGCTCATAAGTTGCTCAAAATAAGCTGTACGTTGTGCTTTGTTGGGCACGTGTAAATTTACAGCCCAAAGGAAGTTGGCTTTTAACTGCTCGGTCCACGGTCGGCGAGAGAGATGGGCATAACTGAAATTGGTCTCCTCCCCGGGAACGTCCACTGCGTACAACGAACCTATTTGTGTACGAAGTGCCGACAGCACTTTGGTGTACTCCATGCAGTTTGGCTCATCTAGTGGCCCATAGTCCAAGTGTTCCGGGATTTTCTTAGGCTCATCGCGTTTCATCCTGCCCGGAATTACCCCTTCTAGGTGAGAGGGTCCAAAACGATGCCAGAATTGTGGAACGGCTGGTTTCCGCACAAAATCTTTGGCGTGCACAGTGTCCAGTTTCAATTTACCAGGGAAAGTGTAGGCGAATAGAACCAAACATCCGAGCAGCATGAGAGCGCAAACGGAGATCGCTCTGTTGATTAATATGGATGGGCGGACGTAGAAGAAAAAGCTTATATGTTCATATAACGACTTTGTTCCTAACCAGTTCTTGATCAGTAAAGTTTACATCACTGGCCATTAGTTTTCGAACTAAGGTTGAATCTCTTTGTCTATAAATATCTAAGTGAACTAAAAAAATAATTTTGAGATTTATGACTATAGAAGAACATAGATGGCAAGATGTTCACTTATCGTTCACTGTTGTCCATGGGGAATTTTACGTGTTTTATTATTAAGGCTAACTCTTTATTTAACTAAATAACTGGGAAACTTAACCTCAGTAAATCGGGCGTGCATTTTGTCCAGGACAGAGTTTTCATTCAGCTAGTCTTGCCGATCCCCTAAACTTCTTGATTATTCACGGGTTCATTTTATATGGTACGGACTCATTCTTTGGCTCGAATGGGACAATGCCTAGTTCAACGAATGTTGGAGCACATAAGCACATGTTGAGCAAAGTCAGTTTTAAAACCTTTTATGAACAAGCAGAAGAAAGCTAATCAATCAGCCTCCTCCATTTTGATCATTTGATACGAAAGGTCACGGAAGCGATCCGATCCAGTCATCGAAGTTAATGTTGCTCAATCCGATACCTCAGTTAGTGGCGCTGTGCTAGACGATGCTTATGAGACAACACCAGCCAAATTTGGTGCCCAAACATGTTTATTAACTTGATATTCGGATGAAAATTTTCCTACTAGAGTTAACGTGAACATCAGAGACGTCGTAACCATTGGAATTTTAAAGGGATCAAGTTTAAAAGGCCTGATGAAACTGTAGAGCATAGAGCTAAATTTGAAAAAAAAGAAAAAAATGAAAGCATGCCGATGATATAATCAGCACTGTGAGTGTGTTCACCTAAACAGTAAGTAAAACGCGCAGTCAACACTGCATACAAATCCATTCAGTTTACTTTAGTAACCCAACCGAGCAATACCCTCATCCCTCTTGACCATACACAGCACCGGAAGATTCACGGAGAAGGTACTTAGAAAGTAGATAGTTCATCAGCTTTCGAAATTGGATATAAAGATGAAAAAACTATCGGAGAAAACGAATAATTTTAACATTTCGAAAAGTAGTTTTTCAGGATAGACCACCTTTCGATCCCGTTCGTAGGTAGCGTGGAGGAAACTCCTTAATGGTCTGTCTTTCGAAGAACCCAACAAAGCCGAGATCAAAATTACGATGGTCTGGGAGGAGAATGTTCTGTACATTGCAGTGCTTTGCTGTGTGTTCAGAAGAGCATTGATGCGCCAGAGAGATTTGCTGCCTGACCTGCGTAAATCAGGCTTTAGTAAGTCTTTTAGGTTCAAGATAACCTACATTGACCGTAAGGGCCCCTCGGGAATAAACTATTGCTTTCATAACGGCTCCAGAAAGTAAGATCTTCTAGTACTTTTTGGCACCTAGTTGGTCTAAGGCAGTCATTCAAAATCGTATCAAGTTTGCAAATTCATTCCATTGACTATTCCCGAAATTCCACCTCAGAAGCAGTAACCATCTGTTAATTCAAAGCTGTACGAAGAATACACAAAAGACAAATCGAAACGCGCCAATAACCAATGGTACAAATTAGTCAGGAGTTCAGTCATTCACATCGGAACCACATGAACTGACCCACGTACACAGGCTCAACTTCCACCCACAAGCATATGGTTGACTAATATCACACAGTCTATTTGCCGACCAAATGGGCTTCAAAATGAGTTAATGAAAACACTACCTTGATTTATAACTTACGCCCTCCTGTCGAAGTTTTTTACGGAATGATGAGTCGATAGGTTTACCAACAGTTATCACCCATTAATTTACTGTTGAAAACAGAAATAACTCCCCGGTGGCTTCAACGAGAAATGGGGATGAACATTTGTTTCCATATTTTAATTTCACGATCTTCGATCGAGGAAGTGACTGAACTTGAATACCGCTTGAAAACCAGGAGCCATGCGTGCCTGACTTAAGCCGTAAAATGGTTGGAGTTATTATAATTACTATACTCCCTGTGGGCAGTTTTACACGTGTAAAGTCTAGTTAATTTGTAACTGTTTTTTTCTACTATTATTCGGCTGAACGGTCATTTGTAGTACTTGTAAGGTACTTGCTTTTTCTTGCAGATGCCAGTACAAGAGCCGATTCATCACGCCTTATCAGCACCTAACCATAAGCAGTGCATTTCAGTGGCCCCTACTGGGACTAGAAGCAGAGGTGACGTATTGATGAGAAGAAGTGCTTTCTTTCATCAAAGATTTCGTACCCGGTTGAGAATCAGTGGTTATACACTGCTTATGATTAGTAAAACAACAAGACAGATGTAAAGTGCTCTCATCGTTTTCAGTGGAGCAATGAGCGTCGATGCTGCATAATGAATCCTTTTCCATATATTCATGAAATGATATACGAATAGAACCAATGCGAGAAATCTTCATGGAATACAAATCACAATTGAATTTGAGTGAGGTACCAGCTTACTTAATGCCATTGGTCAATGTAGCAGAAGATTGTACTGATAAAGTTGGTGCATCCACCGGCGGACGTAGCTGATCAGCTGGTGAATTGGCCCCTGATTCATAGCTTACCGGAGAAGGTTGAGCACAACTAGTCATGCTGCAGACAGCAAATGACAAATGAAGATGTAAGTAATGCTGGTAACACTAATAATAATAATAATCATAATTATAATAATAATAATATTGGAAAATTCACTTGTTTTTCCCACACCCAAAATTACAACCCCACGAGCCGGAATTGAACCTGTGACTTTCTGCTTTGTGTTATATAAGATCAAGGCTCCTCGCGCCATCAACATATTCTACCAATAAGAGTAATCTTTGACTACTTTTATTTAATATACGAGAAAATGCATTATTTATTGAAGGTGACCACAACTGATCAAATACCACTAAATAGGGAAGCAGCTGGTGAGACTCGAACTAGGAGCATCAAATTCTCAGGTTCAAACTGATGACCGTTTGGTCATTGCTGATAGAAATCTGTAATAAGCCTGTTCGAAGTTGTGTCGACTGTATTAATGAAGAGTGCTGAATCCAAACATTTCATCAAGAAAAATACGAACAAGACACAGTTAATCAAATGTATTAGACACGAGAGTTTCGTTTGTCCATTTTAAAGGTTCCAAGTCTTTAGTACAAGTGTACAAAATATGAAAAGTCACTATTCGCTCACTAAGGCACGATTATTTTGCCTTATGTTTTGGATATCGGGAAAACGGGGATTAATTGCAGAAAAATTTGTAGAAACCTGGAAAATTCCGCTGATTTGGCAATTAGAAGAAGGATGACATTGGGCAAAGTCGTCGAATATTTGTCCCTGTAATAGACCGTTCTTGAATTCCTTAATCATCTTCATGCAAGAAATAGTGTAACAGTAAGATGTGGCTTGTGAAAAGCAAAACATTTGAATTAGATTATTATTACAACTGCACTGCGATAAAAATAACATATAAGGAGCAATGTGTTTAGAAAAAGAAGAGAATTTCCTGATAATTCTCACGGACATTGAGAACAAGCTTGGAGAAAAGCGAGTTGCTTTAGAATTTAGCTGGTTAAAAGCTGATATTATACTCAGAACAATGGCCTCTAGGTGTTGCAGTGACGAAAAAATTAAGATCTTGTCGTAAATTGATTTGGTCGTTCACTTACTTTGCACAACCTGTGGTGAGATTGAGAAAGCTTGCATATATACTTTTAAAATACAATTTCCAAATAAACTCATTCAAATGACTTTAGAGTCGCAAAACTCATCAAGCCGGTTGATATGGGCTGTAATAAGCCAAGATCAACCATAAGCATGGAACGGTGTCGAAGATACACCGGAAAATACAGAATTACTCAAGTCAAAACAATAAAAATTTCCAGTCGGTTAAGTCAGAAACTCCTCTAGCAAATGTTTCTTTCTGTAAGGTCAAGTGGAACAGGAGCTCGTATTTTTTAGCTGTGGACACACCGGTTCATTTATTACAAAACCTTTGAAGTAACAAAATCGTTGGAAATTTCATTTAGTCGAAACTTTCCTTTTCCTGTTTACAGTCCCAATTTGAATAAGGTTAGGAATTTAATCCCAGTGTCTAGGGGCAAAGTTATTGTACTTTTACTGGTAAAATAGTGAACATCCTTTGGAGACAGACTGATTCGAAAAACCCACGAGATCGAAGGTGTTTCGACAACATCTTTTCTTTGTATTTACTTCATTTTACCATAGAATAGTGGTATACGGTTTGAAGAAGGGGGTCACAGCCAATTTGAGCTGTCATTTTGGGAAAGTGACCGGTGGTTGGAAGACCGCGTGTTTGCTTTTATAACGTGGATTCGCATTGTACCTGTTTCAACTGGGTAAAATCTGACCTGATTCAAAAGACCAATCTTGGCCCGACGGGTGACTGAATGATTGGGTAATATCCAATGAAAGCACCGTATACGAAATATGTTCCACTACTAAACTGTATTATTTAGTCGCAGAATGATGTTCGATCCTTTTGACAAACTGCCTACTGGTGCGATTCACGTAGCCGGATTAAGAAAAGCCGTTGAACTGGTAACGAAATATTGGTTGGCATTGGTATCAGATCTTTGAGTTGTGGGCGAATAACGGGTGTGCCGGAACAAAAAGTCTTCATCCTAGCAGCGATGGAAGTATTTCAAACCATCTTAGAAATCAGTTTAGTGAAATGTTTGCTGTGGCCGTCAGTTACGAAGGTGAGGAGCAGTGTAGGCCTCTCAATTCATTGGTTTACTTTCAGTTCTTGATCACTGATTGCAACAAGATGTCAGTTTTCCCCGAGTAATTTATATGTCGGGTTGCAGTGCTCTATTCAGACAGGCCTCTCTGACCAGTGAAGCCACAGGACGTATTAGATTTCTGTTTAGCAGACTAGTACGGAGCTATAAAGCTTGAAAAAATGTTCAAATTAAGTACGCTTCCCGAATACACTACTCTGGATCGTCCGATCGGCTTTCTTCGTGACTACCAAGTCCGGTAGAACGGCATAAGCAGTTGACCAGTATTTTTGATTACTTATTCTCGATGAAAAAGCCATCCACTTTCATGGCCGTAGTTCTCCGACTTGGATATTTCGGCATGCTGTTTATGGTCTTCTAATTCATATCTGACAAGGACTGTATTTAGTTGGAAAATTCAAATAAGCAAAACTATTCACCAATTCGCCTATCCTTCTTGAGTTGAGAGGGCCGAAATGAATGCGTCCGGCATCTGTTCCCGGGGGTTGACTGACCGTAGGCCACGTGGGTAATTACTGGTTAACACACGTTACACATGATCATCGTGTTACTGATTAGGACAGTTTGGAGCTTCCTTTCGTAGAAACAAGGTGGCCGAGGTAGTACAGCCTTGAGAGTACGGTAACTAAATACGATTTAGCGCCCCAAAATCAACCACACGGATAGTGCGCGAGTCATATGAAATGGAAACACTGCATTGTTCAAAACTGCAGTAGCTTGTGGGATTGTTGTTAAGTGTTGGAGATGATCAAGTTCCTCAGAAAAATCTACTCAGTAAAACGTGACAAAAACCGGCTTCAGAATTTGCTACGAAAGATTTCACCGGACTTTTGGAAATTCCCTCCAGCCCACCTTTATCAGATCTGTGCGTACCACTCGCAATGAGCGATCGGGAACGGCCAAGAGTAAAATTATTGCACATTGGCATCGACATATTCCTCTTCAAATAAGCATAAAGAATGAAGATTTAAATCAAGCAGATTTGCACCTATAAGCTTAACGCATGATTTCCGAAAATATTCTGTGATCGTCGGACGGTAGGTACTATTGTGCTTCATGCAAGTAGAAAACTTGGAAAATATGAAAATCATGGTAGGACGGCTACAGCAAAAGCCCAAGTGCATAAGGGGCTATTACACATAGCATTGAAGTAATGGCAAGCGTCTACCGATGACAAGGTATATTTAGTATACAGAGTACCACTTGCGAGATACGTCAACGTAAGTGTAATAAAGTGATGAGGGAACACAATATAATTTCGTTTCATGTAAGCGTCATACAGGACCGGCTTTTTCCCACTTGTACTATCACCATCACTCCAGGAATGGTACTAAAAGACAGCTGGTCTCAGCGTTCGACCATGCTTGGCCAACTTCATGCGTCACTGATTCCATTGGCAACTTTTTAACACTCACAAAAACCCAGCCTCATGTAACAAAGTAAAAGATCATTCTTTCACACACCAATAGACACTCAGTCCTTTTATGTTTACTTCGATTTTGCGTGAATTTGTTATTCATTGTATTTACTTTATCATGGGCCTCCTGAGGCCTACCAACATCCGTTCACACGCACTAGCCAACCCACAGACGATCAGCATCCATCTTTCCTCACCTGATCTGCACATGTAAAAAATATTCGTCCAAATCCTCAACTTATCCTGGCCGAGGGTCAACCATCCCCACCCCCAAATGATTCTGATCTGCACCAAGTGACTGTCACGGCCATGTCGAGCAGATCAGCCCATCGTACTAATCTCAACAATTCCCCTGAAAAAAACCCTTTTGTTCAGTCCGAATGACCGTTGACCTCTTCAGCACACCCCCGTTTCCTATGTGATCTGGACAGGTTAGGGAATGAATCAATAAGAACACCTGTTTGCCTCCGACACGTGTTCTGATTTACATTATCATTAATTATGCTATCACACTGTTTATGTCCAAACTATTTCCACAAAAGTTACTGGCATGACAACATAAATTAATCCTGATCATAATTAGAAAGTTTTAATTGTTTATATTATGCAGAAATTGCATATAACTTTAGGAAGGCCGTCGGGTGGGGAAGTGGCTGACGACAGAAGGATTCCAACCCGGGACGGCAAGATCTGGGAGACATGGTGACGACCATTTGACAAATTTATTACCCGGGAAATCTACCTCATCTTATTCCGTTTTGGTATTCCAAGTGAGCTGTGAATCGCAGTGAATTCTGTGGTTTTCCGGATCAGCATATTTAGTTTTAGTTAATTTCATCAACAAGTTAAAGGACACACCCACCGATCTGTGTGGAGACTTACCGTGTATTTGTGTATTTACCACGGAAAGAGTTCAAATCACCGTCTAGCGAAGAGCTTTGTCTCCTTTTCACAGAAGAACGCAAACCTTTTGTATGCGACTAATCCAGAGCTTTGTTCGAGGGACGTGTATTGCCCTGTCTATTTATATACGTCACACACACTCTCAAACACGCACGTGCAAGTACACTCAAAGACACGTTTGAGTTGAACTGATGGGACGCTCTAGTCGCTTGCACAATCATATCTACTCACGCCACCAAATGCACACCGGGAGACGTCTGAGGAATCGAGACAAGTTGCAATGGAACCTGTCTAGTTTTTAGGTGTTGGGTGCAGACAACTACTATGTGGTTGTGAACCAACACCTCCGGTTGGCATTCCGAAATAAATAGATAGCTCAGTACGGTTAACGGACTAGTTAACACCAAGAACCAATGCAAACATGTTGGGGGTAAACTCAATGTCTGTGTGCTAGAGGGGAACACCACGTGTGTCACGTAAATGGTGGGCACAACCCAATGGGCCTGAACCCGTTAGAACGTACAGACAGACAACAAATAATGGCGGTCACGAAGATAGTTTCTTTGAACGTATAAAGCAGTCGAGTGGCAGCACTGTGATAACGAATAATACGTAAACAGACACCAAAAAGCTTCGATTTTTAATATCAACAAAATGTTCCATCCTGGTTTAAATGAAGACACCGATTGGAGCGTTTCGAACATGAAAGTCACGAAACAGCCTCTTTTTGGTAACTTCATAGTGTGGCTAATCAGTTAACACATTTATTGTGATAATGAATATTTTATAGCAATATTTACCAAGCTAATCGTTTGGGAGGGTGTTACCTACGGAATAGTTTGTGAATGAAAACGTTTTTGTTTTTGTTTTTAAAATGCAACACAGAAAGGGCTCAGTGTGCTAAGGTTTAAACCACTTTAAGGCAGATCTGACTCCGGTTATGCCGCGTAATCGCATGATAAGTCAAGTCCTGCATGTAGGCGAACGTCGATTCTAGGCCAAAACAGTTTTAGTGACTTTTATAGCAGTGACAGGTTGTAGAGCTTTAGTTATCGTCTAGTTTCGGTGGTGGAAAGCTTCTTATACATTCTGGTAAACCCTGTAAATCTCTAGAACAGCTTCTCCGTTCATCCGACGTCCTGTATTAATGATATGCTCTAGGATCACATTGGTGATGGTCTTTGTGGTCCCCGTGCCCAATCAGAGCGGTTGGTGCAAATTCAGTTTTTCAAGTCACCGTCTGATAGTTCAACCCGAATTCCTTTGCCCAAAATGAAGGGACAAGAGAGTTCGTAATCATAAATGAGGCTAAGAAAGGCGCTTTATCTTTGAGATTCATGGATATGGTTGTTCATCTGGTAAAGTGTGCGCACATACAGGTCTCCAGATACGTGCTAACGATTACCTGTTCCAGGTCTCGCGTCAAGAGTTGGCGAACTGAGCTGCCTCCGAAAAACAGTTGTATGCCTAATTCTTTCCATTTTATGTTGGAAAGCGGAGGCTTCTTAAGCTTCTCTAGTATATCCTCCAGAACGAAGGTTTCGAAAAACCATTTATTTTAAGTGCCGGCTCTTCCCTGGTTTTGTCCTCTGAACATATCATTCTTTAGTGAGCGACTGGGGGCGAGTAAAGCTTTCCCTGTCTGATATAAAAAACTGGTACGATCAGGTTCATTGCAAGCGCGATGGTTGCACACTTGGTCGTGACTAACCATACTGTGAGCCTGATCGAAGCATCTCGACCTCTGGATAAGATCCACAACCGGCTGTTCAGATCGGGGCTGTTCACGATCACTTTGACATTGGGTAATGCGACGAAGTAAAACTAATGCTTAGGACCATATGGCTGGTGGTGAGTGATATTACAAACAAACGGGCAGCAAACAGAGTTAAGAAAACGGACACCACGATCGGTTTTAGGCAGTGGCGCCAAATAAAGGGCTTCGAGATTTTGTAGACCAGTGGGGTTATGACAAGCAAGCTAGAACAAATGCACGGATGTGTAGACCAGGTGGACTCGATGTCGGTTCCCTTGATTCAGTCGACTGGGTCAAAAATATATACCCAATAAACGGTAGTGTAGAGTGGTGTGTAGTTTCGTGGTCCGTAATTCAAGTACGGTCCGGGAACACGGACAGCGGAATCGAACTCCGTTTGTTGTGGTAATTTCAGTACGTCCTATCAGACGAAATTACAGCGTGGAAGAACCTATTCTCAAACTCGTTACCTTGGTTACAAATTTGATGTTGATTATTTTGTGATGCCCACCTCGTGGAGTCTGTGACCAATTCAGCATTTTCATGAAGCTGTTAGAGAAGTGCAATCCTATGTCAGTAAATGTAATGTTCTTGGTCTAGTTCAATAAATAAAAAAGTCATCCCGGTTGAGATAAAAACCCACCTATGGATGCCGACCAAGTCTAAATGGTGTCAGCCCTCTCCCAGCTAAGTTGCGAAGTCACACTATTGTCTCCGATGCTTTATATTTGTATTAAGTTCACAAACATATATATACATACGTATATGTACAATGGAAGGGAATGGACAAATTCCTTGGTATCTAAAGACCGATTTCCTGATATTTTCTATTCCTCGGGTATTCATAGACGACTCTTCTCTGCCTATTAATTTCCATACTTGTACACTCTGAATGTGCATGGCTCACCCTGTTCCTTCAAGGGTGTGAATGGGTGCTCTTCGTTAAATTCCACAGTGTGGATTAAATGCTGTTATTCACTGGAAGTTCTTTGTAAATTAATTGTAACTAACCGAAAGAACATAGAGGCTACCGTTGCAAGCGGTCACAGCCGGAGTAAAACACTAAATTTTACAGTGGAATTTGAGAATCTTTATGCTCAATTCTCAAGTCAGTCATAACAGCTAACCGGAACGCCCATTTAATGATATGATGCAAATAGAGATGAAAGCCTCGAGGGAAAGAAACTCAGTATGCGTGTTTTTACCTAGTTAATAGGTTCTTTGATAGATATTGCTCATAGACGATTGTCAGCAGCTAGCTTTTGCTTCTAAGCTCCAGGTTTTGTTCAAGTTCAGGTAAACAATATTTTTGAGATTGAAAGATAACCTTCCTCAATCTTCAGCTGAATTCTGTGTTCACGTATTCATTTTGTTTCCGTGGGACGGTATACATATTGGTCGTGGGACCAGATATTCGTCTGAAAGCATCCGCGGGCACCACTCTTTCTAGTGGATTACTGTAGCAGTTAAAGTGCTCAACAGCAGATCAGACCAGTTGCGATAAACGTGGCCGTGGCTCTCTGTACCACACTCAGGCTCAAAGTCTTCATTCAAGACTGGTGGAATTACACATCCTTGCCGCAGTGGTGGCCACCAGAATCCCCTCCACACTCCACATTAGATGCTGAAAAACATCATGTATACTCTCTGGCTCGCTTGTCCCACTCTTTGAGCTACATCAGGTCCCCGGGGTAGAACAGCGCCATAAAATGTTTGAAACAATCTATATTCTGTTCAGAATTGAGCTTGGGTCACCAAGTTTGTTATCACTGTTCCATTTTACTACACTTATTTGTTCAGTTTTTCTGACCACTTAAGCTGTTATAATATATCGTGATTTAATAGAATGATTGTAAATAATTACAAACGAGCTCGCTCGCCAGTCTGTGTTCTCTGAATTCGCTTAGTACGAAGATTCGGTCGGTAGACAGTATGGTTCATGTTGCCGCGTCAGTCGGTTTCTGGAAATAAAGCGTCTTTCCGCATACTGCCCAAAAATTCAGAAGAGGTGGGCATTGAACGTTTCTTATCCTTACACATCCGATGTGATAATCACTTTTAAAAGATTCGATACTGATGTTTGTGACCCAAAAAACTTTGAAATGTCAATCACTGTTTCTTGACGCTAGTATTATTCTAAATTCATTAACAGGTGAAAGCTAATTTTTTGTTTTCTTGCGACAAAATACTAACTGTTTGACTTGTGGATAAGACGTCGCACGCTACAAGCTAATGTATCGAACAGCTGAATCGGATCACTGAAACATTACTGGTTCCCCTAATAGTTTCCCATTACCTGCAGGAAATCAATAAAAGTGACCAAATTCCCGTTCAAAATTTGTGTCCGAAAAGTGTCTCCTATCAGTCTCTCATGACTTACATGATAGTCTCTTAGTCTCTTTCGTTACTTCGTGAAAGATACACTGTATGAACATAGACTCATAGAAATCTAGTAAGGCCGTAGCAAACTGCATAAACGTGTTGCAAATATCGCAGTGAAAAGTAACTGGAACGAAACCACTGTATTTGCCTAGGCACCGGGGATCGCTAACATCCTCGGATGAATCTTTTCTTATCCCATTGCGCGTAGACGTTTGCTGGACTACCATGGTGAACCAAGATTTGGAGTGAACATCCGTATGTCGAGCGTGGTAACTAGCTTGGTGAAAGCGGATGGCTCTCTACCACATGTAAAATTAATTATTCATGAGACTTGTCAGCATCTTTTCAATTTGATCGACCGTCGTCTATGCACAGAGTGCATTATTATTATTATTATTATTATTATTATTATTATTATTATTATCATTATCATTATTATTATTATCATTATTATTATTATTGTCATTATTATTATTACCAGTATCTCTGGGAAGAAATCTCGACTGGAAAGTGGAACATTTGTATACCCTTCCTATTTACACTGCTGAAATTTCCACGCCGAACCAGGTTCTTTTCTACTACGTTAGCTCTCGGCATGTACTTTTCCGCTAATTGTGCGAGGCCATATCCAGACTTATGTATATGAATATGTACGTATATCGTTATTCCAAATTTGACTGGGTGTTTCTTGGGGTAAAGGTTTGTACTTAGGCTAAGTTTCGAGTTCACCATTTTTATAATGTTTGATTTTTGACAAATTATAGCGTAGACTTTCTCAAGTGTTGATGCCTTTTATTGTTTATCTACGGGTTCTTTGGAGTTTTGCTTTGCTTAGCAATCGCTGGCTTATCCTCTCAAACAGTGCACATGGGTTTCTCTGTGACCATAACGCAGACTTATATCC